TCTATCTATCTATCTATCTATCTATCTATCTATCTATCTATCTATCTGTTCTTTCCTGGGCCTTTTTTCTGTGAGCGTTGAGTGGAACTTGCAATTATGGAGCTATGTGACTTGCTGGAACAACACTGGGTCTGTGGGGTGTTGGAATTTTCATTCCTTTGGAATAGGAGAACTTTTCATGGGGATGATATAAGAGGACAGTGTGGATCATGACTAAAAGTTCTCAAACATTTTTTTTAAAGAGAACAAAGATTGAAGACTTTCACATGTGTAGCATTTCAAAGCAGCTGTGCATTTGTGTCTATTGTTATTATGTGTATTGCTTATCACTGCCAGGTGATTGTACCTACCAATATATGTATTTTTACATGTTTTATAGAATGCATAGATGTCAAATTCTTGTAGTCTTTGTAGTCAGAATTCTTTATGGATTTCATCTTAGAATAAGGTGGACATTTGTGTTTTATGCAAAGTTCAGCTACCCTTGGGAAGTGCATGCAATTATGTTTTCAGACAAAGCACGATAAAAGGCCAATACCAGGGCAATGTGTCATAACAGGTAGAAAGTTATGAAATATCAAACACAAAAATGCAGATTCATACAGGACGTTAACAAAACTGTCAATGTTTTGATCTATCCATGGACAGTCCTTTAATAGTGCAGCATGAATTGGGTTGTATGTTAAAGAACCATAAAACACATCTTATGCAAACTGGTAGCCACGAGCTTAGCCGTTTACCTCTGACATTGTGACATTATCTATGCATCTACCATTAATAGTAATATACCCAACATGTGAGAATGTACAGAAAATATGTTCATGAACTTGGTTTTTGAATAAAAGGTTTGTATGGTGACTCTAATTATCAGCACAAATAGTTCGGTTTAGTTATGATTCAGATTTTGTGACATGTTTTCTACACCATGGTGATGTGCTTTGGCAAAAATTGTATTGTTAAGTTGTAAAGGCCTGCACACAAATGGTGATACCGAATGTCTGGCTGCACAGGGCCTCTAAGAACTCAGGAACCCTGATCTCCCCAGCTGCATTGAACTGATCTGTCACTGGATTTCCTTTGCAAAGTAACCACAGGCACAGAACTGTCTGTCAAACAGTCTTTTAGCAGGCCAGCTTCCTGACAACTCCCTCACATGTACAGTGTGGAAACAAGAGTGCCAATAGAATTATTTTTATTGCATATAATTTAAAAACCTTAACTTTGGAAGCACTGGCAGTTTAGATTGACTAGAGACCATTATTTAACATCATCCAAAGTATAGGCTGTAAAACTGAAATTTAATTAGTCGAGGGTCATATAAATTAACTGCTGGATTGCACATAGATACAAGATAGACCCAAGTTTTGTGTATTTTTAAGACCAAAAAAACCATATTTTTATTTAAAACCCATTGCGCATAAATGTATGCATTGGGATATAGAGACCAACCATGTCAAGTTGTTAATAACCAAAAGTAAAATTGTCAGTATTGTGAAGATGAAGTGAAGGCATCGTGCCTAAATTATCTGGAAAGTATGTGGAAGTACTATCTTTTGTACTAGCTGACTACATTTAGAGGACATCTGAAAGTTTTTCATCAGAGATGCCCAACTCTTGTCTTCTAGGGCCACTGTCCTGCAGGCTTGCATCAACACACCTGATTCGCTCTGCTCAGTGACACATTGATGGGAATCAGGTGCACTGAAGCAGGGAAATTTTGGGCACCCCTGTTTTGAATGATCCATAATAATTGTGTTGCCCCCTTAAGTCTTGCATCTTAATTTTATGAATGTTTAACAGACATTAAACAATGAGTAGTCTTAACAGGTCTTAACAGGTCTTAACAGAGTATCATAGTAGAAAAAAGACAACTGGGTATGCAGCTGTCTGAGTATTTTAACTAACGATAACATCTAAATTGCTCTGCAGCGCTGGTACTGATTACATCGCTCTGTGGTCAGGACTCGTCTGCTGATAAATGTGTTTGTCTTGTACCAGCTACAAAACCTACATACTCGCAAGTTTCATATTGATGTGTGCATTTTACACAGGAACATCTTTTGTCAAAACAAGCCTTCGAAAATAAGTATTTTTTAAAGTTAGTTGTCCCCTTTAAGCACGAGATAAACATAATTTCTTTTGTGAATTAGTTGGCTAAAAATTCTAGACTCTGCCATGTTGTTTCAGCAATTATTTTACAATCAAAATTTGATTCGTGTTTCAGTGAGTGAGGTGTGATTCTCATTGACATGGTTAACTAAAGCAGGAAAGTTGCGCACTTACCCCATCCAATTAATCTAGTCATAAATTAGTTCTATTACAGCTATATAACATATTCATAACAACAGCAATGATGGCAAAAATGGCAAAGAAGCACTCTGTTGGTTTACTGCTTTGCAGTGAGTCATTGCAAAATTTTAGTCTTATGGTGTGAAAGGTAAATATGGGTCAAAAGAATATGGGGGACATGACAGAACTGGGGTAGAGTGGCCATGGGTGATCAGAAAAATCCCCTTGGAGTTTATGAAATGAGTGGCACTGCTGATGATCTAAGTTATGTAGAGGGGGTTGTATGTTGGTAGCAGCTATTGGCCCAATGCAGTCAATTCAGTTTTTTAAACAATTTTCACATTCTTAAAAATATATCAAGTACCCACATTAACTTCCAAGCAGAGTTTGGTCAGATATATGTTAGGTTAATGGATTGGAACTGTATCAGATACAATGAGTCACTCATGTGATACAATTAGTAATTGATTTTCAAACCTGATCGGTCTATAGTGAGTAGGGAGTAGATTTTCTTTAAAGTAAAGCTTGCAGACAGATGCTAAATTCATGAAATTGCCAGTCAGATGACAAACATTTGAGTGAGAAGACAGTGCTGGTGCATTGCTTCTGTGCAGTATCAGGATGTGGTTAATCAGCACACAACTGTTCAATGCTGTAGAGCGTTAACTATTTTCTTTCTTTTCAAAGTGTATTAGTACTGTTTTGTGATTCTAAGAAACAACTTACTGACTCTCAATACCCACAAACTGTATTCTTATGAAACAGTTCATATCTACTTATTGTATTGCTATACTGCGGGGTTTTTTCTGTCATAAATTCCCTTAAGTCTATGACAAGCAGCTAAAAACATATTGATTATTAGCCAGTCATTGGTGGACATTATGAACTTTTTGATGCATGACATAATTGCAAACATAGTTTAAAGTCTAAAGAAATTCTGGAAAAAAATCAATGTGCTGAATACATACATATGTATGTATGTATGTATGTATGTATGTATGTATGTATGTATGTAT